ATAACAACACAGGAGCCTACAAGTTTTGATTCTTCTACCACTCCAATGATAACATCCCCAGAACATACTACTGTGACAGACCCGATAACAACACAGGAGACCACAAGTTTTTATTCTTCTACCACTCCAATGATAACATCCCCAGAACATACTCTTGTGACAGATCCAATAACAACACAGGAGCCTACAAGTTTTGATTCTTCTACCATTTCAATGCTAACATTCCCAGAACATACTACTGTGACAGACCCAATAACAACACAGGAGCCTACAAGTTTTGATTCTTCTACCACTACAATGATAACTTCCCCAGAACGTACTACTGTGACAGACCCAATAACAACACAAGAGCCTACAAGTTTTGATTCTTCTACCACTCCAATGCTAACATCCCCGGAATATACTACTGTGACAGACCCAATAACAACACAGGAGCCTACAAGTTTTGATTCTTCTACCACTCCAATGCTAACATCCCCAGAATATACTATTGTTACAGACCCAATAACAACACAGGAGCCTACAAGTTTTGATTCTTCTACCACTTCAATGATAACTTCCCCAGAACATACTACTGTGACAGACCCAATAACAACACAGGAGCCTACAAGTTTTGATTCTTCTACAACTCCAATGCTAACATCCCCAGAACATACTATTGTGACAGACCCAATAACAACACAGGAGCCTACAAGTTTTGATTCTTCTACCACTCCAATGATAACTTCCCCAGAACATACTACTGTGACAGACCCAATGACAACACAGGAGCCTACAAGTTTTGATTCTTCTACCACTCCAATGCTAACATCCCCAGAACATACTACTGTGACAGACCCAATAACAACACAGGAGCCTACAAGTTTTGATTCTTCTACCACTCCAATGATTTCTTCTCCAGAACATACTACTGTGACAGACCCAATAACAACACAGGAGCCTACAAGTTTTGATTCTTCTACCACTCCAATGCTAACATCCCCAGAACATACTACTGTGGCAGACCCAATAACAACACAGGAGCCTACAAGTTTTGATTCTTCTACCACTCCAATGATAACATCCCCAGAACATACTACTGTGACAGACCCGATAACAACACAGGAGACCACAAGTTTTGATTCTTCTACTACTCCAATGATAACATCCCCAGAACATACTCTTGTGACAGATCCAATAACAACACAGGAGCCTACAAGTTTTGATTCTTCTACCACTTCAATGCTAACATCCCCAGAACATACTACTGTGACAGACCCAATAACAACACAGGAGCCTACAAGTTTTGATTCTTCTACCACTACAATGATAACTTCCCCAGAACATACTACTGTGACAGACCCAATAACAACACAAGAGCCTACAAGTTTTGATTCTTCTACCACTCCAATGATTTCTTCTCCAGAACATACTACTGTGACAGACCCAATAACAACACAGGAGCCTACAAGTTTTGATTCTTCTACCACTCCAATGCTAACATCCCCAGAACATACTACTGTGGCAGACCCAATAACAACACAGGAGCCTACAAGTTTTGATTCTTCTACCACTCCAATGATAACATCCCCAGAACATACTACTGTGACAGACCCGATAACAACACAGGAGACCACAAGTTTTTATTCTTCTACCACTCCAATGATAACATCCCCAGAACATACTCTTGTGACAGATCCAATAACAACACAGGAGCCTACAAGTTTTGATTCTTCTACCACTTCAATGCTAACATCCCCAGAACATACTACTGTGACAGACCCAATAACAACACAGGAGCCTACAAGTTTTGATTCTTCTACCACTACAATGATAACTTCCCCAGAACATACTACTGTGACAGACCCAATAACAACACAAGAGCCTACAAGTTTTGATTCTTCTACCACTCCAATGCTAACATCCCCAGAACATACTACTGTGACAGACCCAATAACAACACAGGAGCCTACAAGTTTTGATTATTCTACCACTTCAATGCTAACATCCCCAGAACATACTTCTGTGACAGACCCAATAACAACACAGGAGCCTACAAGTTTTGATTCTTCTACCACTCCAATGATAACTTCCCCAGAACGTACTACTGTGACAGACCCAATAACAACTCAAGAGCCTACAAGTTTTGATTCTTCTACCACTCCAATGCTAACATCCCCGGAATATACTACTGTGACAGACCCAATAACAACACAGGAGCCTACAAGTTTTGATTCTTCTACCACTCCAATGCTAACATCCCCAGAATATACTATTGTTACAGACCCAATAACAACACAGGAGCCTACAAGTTTTGATTCTTCTACCACTTCAATGATAACTTCCCCAGAACATACTACTGTGACAGACCCAATAACAACACAGGAGCCTACAAGTTTTGATTCTTCTACAACTCCAATGCTAACATCCCCAGATCATACTACTGTGACAGACCCAATAACAACACAGGAGCCTACAAGTTTTGATTCTTCTACCACTCCAATGATAACATCCCCAGAACATACTACTGTGACAGACCCAATAACAACACAGGAGCCTACAAGTTTTGATTCTTCTACCACTCCAATGATAACATCCCCAGAACATACTACTGTGACAGACCCGATAACAACACAGGAGACCACAAGTTTTTATTCTTCTACCACTCCAATGATAACATCCCCAGAACATACTCTTGTGACAGATCCAATAACAACACAGGAGCCTACAAGTTTTGATTCTTCTACCATTTCAATGCTAACATTCCCAGAACATACTACTGTGACAGACCCAATAACAACACAGGAGCCTACAAGTTTTGATTCTTCTACCACTACAATGATAACTTCCCCAGAACGTACTACTGTGACAGACCCAATAACAACACAAGAGCCTACAAGTTTTGATTCTTCTACCACTCCAATGCTAACATCCCCGGAATATACTACTGTGACAGACCCAATAACAACACAGGAGCCTACAAGTTTTGATTCTTCTACCACTCCAATGCTAACATCCCCAGAATATACTATTGTTACAGACCCAATAACAACACAGGAGCCTACAAGTTTTGATTCTTCTACCACTTCAATGATAACTTCCCCAGAACATACTACTGTGACAGACCCAATAACAACACAGGAGCCTACAAGTTTTGATTCTTCTACAACTCCAATGCTAACATCCCCAGAACATACTATTGTGACAGACCCAATAACAACACAGGAGCCTACAAGTTTTGATTCTTCTACCACTCCAATGATAACTTCCCCAGAACATACTACTGTGACAGACCCAATGACAACACAGGAGCCTACAAGTTTTGATTCTTCTACCACTCCAATGCTAACATCCCCAGAACATACTACTGTGACAGACCCAATAACAACACAGGAGCCTACAAGTTTTGATTCTTCTACCACTCCAATGATTTCTTCTCCAGAACATACTACTGTGACAGACCCAATAACAACACAGGAGCCTACAAGTTTTGATTCTTCTACCACTCCAATGCTAACATCCCCAGAACATACTACTGTGGCAGACCCAATAACAACACAGGAGCCTACAAGTTTTGATTCTTCTACCACTCCAATGATAACATCCCCAGAACATACTACTGTGACAGACCCGATAACAACACAGGAGACCACAAGTTTTGATTCTTCTACTACTCCAATGATAACATCCCCAGAACATACTCTTGTGACAGATCCAATAACAACACAGGAGCCTACAAGTTTTGATTCTTCTACCACTTCAATGCTAACATCCCCAGAACATACTACTGTGACAGACCCAATAACAACACAGGAGCCTACAAGTTTTGATTCTTCTACCACTACAATGATAACTTCCCCAGAACATACTACTGTGACAGACCCAATAACAACACAAGAGCCTACAAGTTTTGATTCTTCTACCACTCCAATGCTAACATCCCCAGAACATACTACTGTGACAGACCCAATAACAACACAGGAGCCTACAAGTTTTGATTCTTCTACCACTTCAATGCTAACATCCCCAGAACATACTTCTGTGACAGACCCAATAACAACACAGGAGCCTACAAGTTTTGATTCTTCTACCACTCCAATGATAACTTCCCCAGAACGTACTACTGTGACAGACCCAATAACAACTCAAGAGCCTACAAGTTTTGATTCTTCTACCACTCCAATGCTAACATCCCCGGAATATACTACTGTGACAGACCCAATAACAACACAGGAGCCTACAAGTTTTGATTCTTCTACCACTCCAATGCTAACATCCCCAGAATATACTATTGTTACAGACCCAATAACAACACAGGAGCCTACAAGTTTTGATTCTTCTACCACTTCAATGATAACTTCCCCAGAACATACTACTGTGACAGACCCAATAACAACACAGGAGCCTACAAGTTTTGATTCTTCTACACTCCAATGCTAACATCCCCAGAACATACTATTGTGACAGACCCAATAACAACACAGGAGCCTACAAGTTTTGATTCTTCTACCACTCCAATGATAACTTCCCCAGAACATACTACTGTGACAGACCCAATGACAACACAGGAGCCTACAAGTTTTGATTCTTCTACCACTCCAATGCTAACATCCCGAGAACATACTACTGTGACAGACCCAATAACAACACAGGAGCCTACAAGTTTTGATTCTTCTACCACTCCAATGATTTCTTCTCCAGAACATACTACTGTGACAGACCCAATAACAACACAAGAGCCTACAAGTTTTGATTCTTCTACCACTCCAATGCTAACATCCCCAGAACATACTACTGTGACAGACCCAATAACAACACAGGAGCCTACAAGTTTTGATTATTCTACCACTTCAATGCTAACATCCCCAGAACATACTTCTGTGACAGACCCAATAACAACACAGGAGCCTACAAGTTTTGATTCTTCTACCACTCCAATGATAACTTCCCCAGAACGTACTACTGTGACAGACCCAATAACAACACAAGAGCCTACAAGTTTTGATTCTTCTACCACTCCAATGCTAACATCCCCGGAATATACTACTGTGACAGACCCAATAACAACACAGGAGCCTACAAGTTTTGATTCTTCTACCACTCCAATGCTAACATCCCCAGAATATACTATTGTTACAGACCCAATAACAACACAGGAGCCTACAAGTTTTGATTCTTCTACCACTTCAATGATAACTTCCCCAGAACATACTACTGTGACAGACCCAATAACAACACAGGAGCCTACAAGTTTTGATTCTTCTACCACTCCAATGATAACATCCCCAGAACATACTACTGTGACAGACCCGATAACAACAAAGGAGACCACAAGTTTTGATTCTTCTACCACTCCAATGCTAACATCCCCAGAACATACTACTGTGACAGACCAAATATCAACACAGGAGCCTACAAGTTTTGATTCTTCTACCACTCCAATGATAACTTCCCCAGAAAATATGACTGTGACAGACCCAATAACAACACAGGAGCCTACAAGTTTTGATTCTTCTACCACTCCAATGCTACCATCCCCAGAACATACTACTGTGACAGACCCAATAACATCACAAGAGCCTACAAGTTTTGATTCTTCTACCACTCCAATGCTAACATCCCCAGAACATACTACTGTGACAGACCCAATAACAACACAAGAGCCTACAAGTTTTGATACTTCTACCACTCCAATGCTAACATCCCCAGAATATACTGCTGTGACAGACCCAATAACAACACAGGAGCCTACAAGTTTTGATTCTTCTACCACTCCAATGCTAACATCCACAGAACATACTACTGTGACAGACCCAATAACAACACAGGAGCCTACAAGTTTTGATTCTTCTACCACTCCAATGCTAACATCCCCAGAACATACTATTGTGGCAGACCCAATAACAACACAGGAGCCTACAAGTTTTGATTCTTCTACCACTCCAATGATAACATCCCCAGATCATACTACTGTGACAGACCCAATAACAACACAGGAGCCTACAAGTTTTGATTCTTCTACCACTCCAATGATAACATCCCAAGAACATACTACTGTGACAGACCCAATAACAACACAGGAGCCTACACGTTTTGATTCTTCTACGACTCCAATGCTAACATCACCAGAACATACTACTGTGACAGACCCAATAACAACACAGGAGCCTACAAGTTTTGATTATTCTACCACTCCAATGCTAACATCCCCAGAACATACTACTGTGACAGACCCAATATCAACACAGGAGCCTACAAGTTTTGATTCTTCTACCACTCCAATGATAACTTCCCCAGAACATACTCCTTTGACAGACCCAATAACAACACAGGAGCCTACAAGTTTTGATTCTTCTACCACTCCAATGCTAACATCCCCAGAACATACTACTGTAACAGACCCAATAACAACACAAGAGCCTACAAGTTTTGATTCTTCTACCACTCCAATGATAACATCCCCAGAACATACTAAAGTGACAGACCCAATAACAACACAAGAGCCTACACGTTTTGATACTTCTACCACTCCAATGCTAACATCCCCAGAATATACTACTGTGACAGACCCAATAACAACACAGGAGCCAACAAGTTTTGATTCTTCTACCACTCCAATGCTAACATCCCCAGAATATACTACTGTTAAAGACCCAATAACAACACAGGAGCCTACAAGTTTTGATTCTTCTACCACTTCAATGATAACTTCCCCAGAACATACTACTGTGACAGACCCAATAACAACACAGGAGCCTACAAGTTTTGATTCTTCTACCACTCCAATGCTAACATCCCCAGAACATACTATTGTGACAGACCCAATAACAACACAAGAGCCTACAAGTTTTGATACTTCTACCACTCCAATGCTAACATCCCCAGAATATACTGCTGTGACAGACCCAATAACAACACAGGAGCCTACAAGTTTTGATTCTTCTACCACTCCAATGCTAACATCCACAGAACATACTACTGTGACAGACCCAATAACAACACAGGAGCCTACAAGTTTTGATTCTTCTACCACTCCAATGCTAACATCCCCAGAACATACTATTGTGGCAGACCCAATAACAACACAGGAGCCTACAAGTTTTGATTCTTCTACCACTACAATGATAACATCCCCAGATCATACTACTGTGACAGACCCAATAACAACACAGGAGCCTACAAGTTTTGATTCTTCTACCACTCCAATGATAACATCCCCAGAACATACTACTGTGACAGACCCAATAACAACACAGGAGCCTACACGTTTTGATTCTTCTACGACTCCAATGCTAACATCACCAGAACATACTACTGTGACAGACCCAATAACAACACAGGAGCCTACAAGTTTTGATTATTCTACCACTCCAATGCTAACATCCCCAGAACATACTACTGTGACAGACCCAATATCAACACAGGAGCCTACAAGTTTTGATTCTTCTACCACTCCAATGATAACTTCCCCAGAACATACTCCTTTGACAGACCCAATAACAACACAGGTGCCTACAAGTTTTGATTCTTCTACCACTCCAATGCTAACATCCCCAGAACATACTACTGTAACAGACCCAATAACAACACAAGAGCCTACAAGTTTTGATTCTTCTACCACTCCAATGATAACATCCCCAGAACATACTAAAGTGACAGACCCAATAACAACACAAGAGCCTACACGTTTTGATACTTCTACCACTCCAATGCTAACATCCCCAGAATATACTACTGTGACAGACCCAATAACAACACAGGAGCCTACAAGTTTTGATTCTTCTACCACTCCAATGCTAACATCCCCAGAATATACTACTGTTACAGACCCAATAACAACACGGGAGCCTACAAGTTTTGATTCTTCTACCACTTCAATGATAACTTCCCCAGAACATACTACTGTGACAGACCCAATAACAACACAGGAGCCTACAAGTTTTGATTCTTCTACCACTCCAATGCTAACATCCCCAGAACATACTATTGTGACAGACCCAATAACAACACAGGAGCCTACAAGTTTTGATTCTTCTACCACTCCAATGATAACTTCCCCAGAACATACTACTGTGACAAACCCATTGACAACACAAGAGCCTACAAGTTTTGATTCTTCTACCACTCCTATGCTAACATCCCCAGAACATACTACTGTGGCAGACCCAATAACAACACAGGAGCCTACAAGTTTTGATTCTTCTACCACTCCAATGCTAACATCCCCAGAAAATACTACTCTGACAGACCCAATAACAACACAGGAGCCTACAAGTTTTGATTCTTCTACCACTCCAATGCTAACATCCCCAGAACATACTACTGTGACAGACTCAATAACAACACAGGAGCCTACAAGTTTTGATTCTTCTACCACTCCAATGCTAACATCCACAGAATATACTACTGTGACAGACCCAATAACAACACAGGAGCCAACAAGTTTTGATTCTTCTACCACTCCAATGCTAACATCCCCAGAATATACTACTGTTAAAGACCCAATAACAACACAGGAGCCTACAAGTTTTGATTCTTCTACCACTTCAATGATAACTTCCCCAGAACATACTACTGTGACAGACCCAATAACAACACAGGAGCCTACAAGTTTTGATTCTTCTACCACTCCAATGCTAACATCCCCAGAACATACTATTGTGACAGACCCAATAACAACACAAGAGCCTACAAGTTTTGATACTTCTACCACTCCAATGCTAACATCCCCAGAATATACTGCTGTGACAGACCCAATAACAACACAGGAGCCTACAAGTTTTGATTCTTCTACCACTCCAATGCTAACATCCACAGAACATACTACTGTGACAGACCCAATAACAACACAGGAGCCTACAAGTTTTGATTCTTCTACCACTCCAATGCTAACATCCCCAGAACATACTATTGTGGCAGACCCAATAACAACACAGGAGCCTACAAGTTTTGATTCTTCTACCACTACAATGATAACATCCCCAGATCATACTACTGTGACAGACCCAATAACAACACAGGAGCCTACAAGTTTTGATTCTTCTACCACTCCAATGATAACATCCCCAGAACATACTACTGTGACAGACCCAATAACAACACAGGAGCCTACACGTTTTGATTCTTCTACGACTCCAATGCTAACATCACCAGAACATACTACTGTGACAGACCCAATAACAACACAGGAGCCTACAAGTTTTGATTATTCTACCACTCCAATGCTAACATCCCCAGAACATACTACTGTGACAGACCCAATATCAACACAGGAGCCTACAAGTTTTGATTCTTCTACCACTCCAATGATAACTTCCCCAGAACATACTCCTTTGACAGACCCAATAACAACACAGGTGCCTACAAGTTTTGATTCTTCTACCACTCCAATGCTAACATCCCCAGAACATACTACTGTAACAGACCCAATAACAACACAAGAGCCTACAAGTTTTGATTCTTCTACCACTCCAATGATAACATCCCCAGAACATACTAAAGTGACAGACCCAATAACAACACAAGAGCCTACACGTTTTGATACTTCTACCACTCCAATGCTAACATCCCCAGAATATACTACTGTGACAGACCCAATAACAACACAGGAGCCTACAAGTTTTGATTCTTCTACCACTCCAATGCTAACATCCCCAGAATATACTACTGTTACAGACCCAATAACAACACGGGAGCCTACAAGTTTTGATTCTTCTACCACTTCAATGATAACTTCCCCAGAACATACTACTGTGACAGACCCAATAACAACACAGGAGCCTACAAGTTTTGATTCTTCTACCACTCCAATGCTAACATCCCCAGAACATACTATTGTGACAGACCCAATAACAACACAGGAGCCTACAAGTTTTGATTCTTCTACCACTCCAATGATAACTTCCCCAGAACATACTACTGTGACAAACCCATTGACAACACAAGAGCCTACAAGTTTTGATTCTTCTACCACTCCAATGCTAACATCCCCAGAACATACTACTGTGGCAGACCCAATAACAACACAGGAGCCTACAAGTTTTGATTCTTCTACCACTCCAATGCTAACATCCCCAGAAAATACTACTCTGACAGACCCAATAACAACACAGGAGCCTACAAGTTTTGATTCTTCTACCACTCCAATGCTAACATCCCCAGAACATACTACTGTGACAGACCCAATAACAACACAGGAGCCTACAAGTTTTGATTCTTCTACCACTCCAATGCTAACATCCACAGAACATACTACTGTGACAGACCCAATAACAACACAGGAGCCTACAAGTTTTGATTCTTCTACCACTCCAATGCTAACATCCCCAGAACATACTATTGTGGCAGACCCAATAACAACACAGGAGCCTACAAGTTTTGATTCTTCTACCACTCCAATGATAACATCCCCAGATCATACTACTGTGACAGACCCAATAACAACACAGGAGCCTACAAGTTTTGATTCTTCTACCACTCCAATGCTAACATCCCCAGAACATACTACTGTGACAGACCCAATAACAACACAGGAGCCTACAAGTTTTGATTCTTCTACCACTCCAATGCTAACATCCCCAGAACATACTACTGTGGCAGACACAATAACAACACAGGAGCCTACAAGTTTTGATTCTTCTACCACTCCAATGCTAACATCCCCAGAACATACTACTGTGGCAGACCCAATAACAACACAGGAGCCTACAAGTTTTGATTCTTCTACCACTCCAATGATAAAATTCCCAGAACATACTACTGTGACAGACCCAATAACAACACAGGAGCCTACAAGTTTTGATTCTTCTACCACTCCAATGCTAACATCACCAGAACATACTACTGTGACAGACCAAATAACAACACAGGAGCCTACAAGTTTTGATTATTCTACCACTCCAATGCTAACATCCCCAGAACATACTACTGTGACAGACCCAATATCAACACAGGAGCCTACAAGTTTTGATTCTTCTACCACTCCAATGATAATTTCCCCAGAACATACTCCTTTGACAGACCCAATAACAACACAGGAGCCTACAAGTTTTGATTCTTCTACCACTCCAATGCTAACATCCCCAGAACATACTACTGTAACAGACCCAATAACAACACAAGAGCCTACAAGTTTTGATTCTTCTACCACTCCAATGATAACATCCCCAGAACATACTACTGTGACAGACCCAATAACAACACAAGAGCCTACACGTTTTGATACTTCTACCACTCCAATGCTAACATCCCCAGAATATACTACTGTGACAGACCCAATAACAACACAGGAGCCTACAAGTTTTGATTCTTCTACCACTCCAATGCTAACATCCCCAGAATATACTACTGTTAAAGACCCAATAACAACACAGGAGCCTACAAGTTTTGATTCTTCTACCACTTCAATGATAACTTCCCCAGAACATACTACTGTGACAGACCCAATAACAACACAGGAGCCTACAAGTTTTGATTCTTCTACCACTCCAATGCTAACATCCCCAGAACATACTATTGTGACAGACCCAATAACAACACAGGAGCCTACAAGTTTTGATTCTTCTACCACTCCAATGATAACTTACCCAGAACATACTACTGTGACAGACCCATTGACAACACAAGAGCCTACAAGTTTTGATTCTTCTACCACTCCAATGCTAACATCCCCAGAACATACTATTGTGACAGACCCAATAACAACACAGGAGCCTACAAGTTTTGATTCTTCTACCACTCAAATGCTAACATCCCCAGAATATACTACTGTGACAGACCCAATAACAACACAGAAGCCTACAAGTTTTGATTCTTTTACCACTCCAAAACAAACAACCCCTGAACAAACTACTCCAACAGAGCCGGAAAAAACACAGGAGCCTACCACTTCTGATTCTCCAACCACTACAAAACCAACAACCCCTGAACAAACTACTCCAACAGAGCCGGAAACGACTGAGGAGCATAAAACTTCTCCAACCACTCTAACTACATCAGAAGCAACCCCAGAACAAAGTACTCCAACAGAACCAGAAACGACTCAGGAGCCAACAACTTTTGATTCTCCGACCACTCCGAAACCAACAACCCCTGAACAAACTACTCCAACAGAGCAGGAAACAACACAGGAGCCTACCACTTCTGATTCTCCACCCACTCAAACTACGTCAGAAGCAACCCCAGAACAAACTACGCCAACAGAGCCGGAAACAACACAGGAACCTACCACTTTTGATTCTCCAACCACTCTAACTACATCAGAAGCAACCCCAGAACAAACTACTCCAACAGAGCCCGAAACAACACAGGAGCCTACCACTTCTGATTCTCCATCCACTCCAACTACATCAGAAGCAACCCCAGATCAAACTTCTCCAACAGATTCAGAAACGACTCAGGAGCCTACCACTCCTGAATCTCCAACCAGTCCAACTTCATCAGAAGCAACGCCAGAACAAACTACTCCAACAGAGCCGGAAACAACACAGGAGACTACCACTTCTGATTCTCCAACCACTCCAAAACCAACAACCCCTGAACAAACTACTCCAACAGAGCCGGAAACAACACAGGAGCCTACCACTTCTGATTCTCCAACCACTCCAAAACTAACAACTCCTGAACAAACTACTCCAACAGAGCAGGAAACAACACAAGAGCCTACCACTTCTGATTCTCCAAACACTCTAAAACCTACAACCCCAGAACAAACTACTCCAACAGAGCCGGAAACAACACAAGAGCCTACCACTTCTGATTCTCCAACCACTCCAACTTCATCAGAAGCAACCCCAGAACAAACTACTCCAACAGAGTCAGAAACGACTCAGGAGCCTACCAGTTCTGATTCTCCAACCACTCCAACTACAACAGAAGCAACCCCAGAACAAACTACTCCAACAGAGCAGGAAACAACACAGGAGCCTACCACTTCTGATTCTCCAACCACTCCAAAACCAACAACCCCTGAACAAACTACTCCATCAGAGCCGGAAACGACTGAGGAGCATAAAACTTCTCATTCTCCAACCACTCTAACTACATCGGAAGCAACATCAGAACAAAGTACTCCAACAGAACCAGAAACGACTCAGGAGCCAACAACTTTTGATTCTCCGACCACTCCGAAACCAACAACCCCTGAACAAACTACTCCAACAGAGCAGGAAACAACACAGGAGCCCACCACTTCTGATTCTCCAACCACTCCAAAACTAACAACTCCTGAACAAACTACTCCAACAGAGCAGGAAACAACACAGGAGCCTACCACTTCTGATTCTCCAAACACTCTAAAACCTATAACCCCAGAACAAACTACTCCAACAGAGCCGGAAACAACACAGGAGCCTACCACTTCTGATTCTCCAACGACTCCAACTTCATCAGAAGCAACCCCAGAACAAACTACTCCAACAGAGTCAGAAACGACTCAGGAGCCTACCAGTTCTGATTCTCCAACCACTCCAACTACAACAGAAGCAACCCCAGAACAAACTACTCCAACAGAGCCGGAAAAAACACAGGAGCCTACCACTTCTGATTCTCCAACCACTCCAAAACCAACAACCCCTGAACAAACTACTCCAACAGAGCCGGAAACGACTGAGGAGCATAAAACTTCTCCAACCACTCTAACTACATCAGAAGCAACCCCAGAACAAAGTACTCCAACAGAACCAGAAACGACTCAGGAGCCAACAACTTTTGATTCTCCGACCACTCCGAAACCAACAACCCCTGAACAAACTACTCCAAAAGAGCAGGTAACAACACAGGAGCCTACCACTTCTGATTCTCCATCCACTCAAACTACGTCAGAAGCAACCCCAGAACAAGCTACGCCAACAGAGCCGGAAACAACACAGGAACCTACCACTTCTGATTCTCCAACCACTCTAACTACATCAGAAGCAACCCCAGAACAAACTACTCCAACAGAGCCGGAAACAACACAGGAGCCCACCACTTCTGATTCTCCATCCACTCCAACTACATCAGAAGCAACCCCAGATCAAACTTCTCCAACAGATTCAGAAACGACTCAGGAGCCTACCACTTCTGAATCTCCAACCACTCCAACTTCATCAGAAGCAACACCAGAACAAACTACTCCAACAGAGCCGGAAACAACACAGGAGACTACCACTTCCGATTCTCCAACCACTCCAAAACCAACAACCCCTGAACAAACTACTCCAACAGAGCCGGAAACAACACAGGAGCCTACCACTTCTGATTCTCCAACCACTCCAAAACTAACAACTCCTGAACAAACTACTCCAACAGAGCAGGAAACAACACAGGAGCCTACCACTTCTGATTCTCCAAACACTCTAAAACCTTCAACCCCAGAACAAACTACTCCAACAGAGCCGGAAACAACACAGGAGCCTACCACTTCTGATTCTCCAACGACTCCAACTTCATCAGAAGCAACCCCAGAACAAACTACTCCAACAGAGTCAGAAACGACTCAGGAGCCTACCAGTTCTGATTCTCCAACCACTCCAACTACAACAGAAGCAACCCCAGAACAAACTACTCCAACAGAGCAGGAAACAACACAGGAGCCTACCACTTCTACTTCTCCAACCACTCCAAAACCAACAACCCCTGAACAAACTACTCCATCAGAGCCGGAAACGACTGAGGAGCATAAAACTTCTGATTCTCCAACCACTCTAACTACATCAGAAGCAACCCCAGAACAAAGTACTCCAACAGAACCAGAAACGACTCAGGAGCCAACAACTTTTGATTCTCCGACCACTTCGAAACCAACAACCCCTGAACAAACTACTCCAACAGAGCAGGAACCAACACAGGAGCCTACCACTTCTGATTCTCCATCCACCCAAACTACATCAGAAGCAACCCCAGAACAAAGTACTCCAACAGAACCAGAAACGACTCAGGAGCCAACAACTTTTGATTCTCCGACCACTCCGAAACCAACAACCCCTGAACAAACTACTCCAACAGAGCAGGAAACAACACAGGAGCCTACCACTTCTGATTCTCCATCCACTCAAACTACGTCAGAAGCAACCCCAGAACAAACTACGCCATCAGAGCCGGAAACAACACAGGAACCTACCACTACTGATTCTCCAACCACTCTAACTACATCAGAAGCAACCCCAGAACAAACTACTCCAACAGAGCCGGAAACAACACAGGAGCCTACCACTTCTGATTCTCCATCCACTCCAACTACATCAGAAGCAACCCCAGATCAAACTTCTCCAACAGATTCAGAAACGACTCAGGAGCCTACCACTTCTGAATCTCCAACCACTCCAACTTCATCAGAGGCAACCCCAGAACAAACTACTCCAACAGAGCCGGAAACAACACAGGAGACTACCACTTCTGATTCTCCAACCACTCCAAAACCAACAACCCCTGAACAAACTACTCCAACAGAGCCGGAAACAACACAGGAGCCTACCACTTCTGATTCTCCAACCACTCCAAAACTAACAACTCCTAAACAAACTACTCCAACAGAGCAGGAAACAACACAGGAGCCTACCACTTCTGATTCTCCAAACACTCTAAAACCTACAACCCCAGAACAAACTACTCCAACAGAGCCGGAAACAACACAGGAGCCTACCACTTCTGATTCTCCAACCACTCCAACTTCATCAGAAGCAACCCCAGAACAAACTACTCCAACAGAGTCAGAAACGACTCAGGAGCCTACCAGTTCTGATTCTCCAACCACTCCAACTACAACAGAAGCAACCCCAGAACAAACTACTCCAACAGAGCAGGAAACAACACAGGAGCCTACCACTTCTAATTCTCCAACCACTCCAAAACCAACAACCCCTAAACAAACTACTCCATCAGAGCCGGAAACGACTGAGGAGCATAAAACTTCTGATTCTCCAACCACTCTAACTACATCAGAAGCAACCCCAGAACAAAGTACTCCAACAGAACCAGAAACGACTCAGGAGCCAACAACTTTTGATTCTCCGACCACTCCGAAACCAACAACCCCTGAACAAACTACTCCAACAGAGCAGGAAACAACACAGGAGCCTACCACTTCTGATTCTCCATCCACTCAAACTACGTCAGAAGCAACCCCAGAACAAACTACGCCAAAAGGGCCGGAAACAACACAGGAACCTACCACTTCTGATTCTCCAACCACTCCAAAACCAACAACCCCTGAACAAACTACTCCAGCAGAGCCGGAAACAACACAGGAGCCTACCACTCCTGATTCTCCAACCACTCAAAAACCAACAACCCCTGAACAAACTACTCCAACAGAGCCGGAAACGACTGAGAAGCATAAAACTTCTCCAACCACTCTAACTACATCAGAAGCAACCCCAGAACAAAGTACTCCTACAGAACCAGAAACGACTCAGGAGCCAACAACTTTTGATTCTCCGACCACTCCGAAACCAACAACCCCTGAACAAACTACTCCAACAGAGCAGGAAACAACACAGGAGCCTACCACTTCTGATTCTCCATCCACTCAAACTACGTCAGAAGCAACCCCAGAACAAACTACGCCAACAGAGCCGGAAACAACACAGGAACCTACCACTTCTGATTCTCCAACCACTCTAACTACATCAGACGCAACCCCAGAACAAACTACTCCAACAGAGCCGGAAACAACACAGGAGCCTACCACTTCTGATTCTCCATCCACTCCAACTACATCAGAAGCAACCCCAGAACAAACTTCTCCAACAGATTCAGAAACGACTCAGGAGCCTACCACTTCTGAATCTCCAACCACTCCAACTTCATCAGAAGCAACCCCAGAACAAACTACTCCAACAAAGTCGGAAACAACACAGGAGCCTACCACTTCTGAATCTCCAACCACTCATACTACATCAGAAGCACCCCCAGAACAAACTACTCCAACAGAACCAGAAACGACTCAGGAGCCTACAACTTTTGATTATCCAACCACTCCAAAACCTACAACCCCAGAACAAACTACTCCAACAGAGCCGGAAACAACACTGGAGCCTACCACTTCTGATTCTTCAATCACTCCAACTACATCAGAAGCAATCCCAAAACAAACTACTCCAACAGAGCCGGAAACAACACAGGAGCCTACCACTTCTGATTCTCTAACCACTCCAACTACATCCGAGGCAACCCCAGAAGAAACGACACCAATAGACGCAGATACAACACAGGAGCCTACCACTTCTGATTCTCCATCCAGTCCATTTACATCAGAAGCAACCCCAGAAGAAACAACACCAACGGGGCCGGAAACAACACAGGAGCTCAACACTTCTGATTCTCCAACCACTCCAACTTCATCAGAAGCAACCCCAGAACAAACTACTCCAACAGAGTCAGAAACGACTCAAGAGCCTACCACTTCTGATTCTCCAACCACTCCAACTACATCAGAAGCAACTCCAGAACAAACTACTCCAACAGAACCGGAAACGACTCAGGAGCCTACCCCTTCTGATTCTCCAACCACCTCAAATCGATCCGAAGCTACTCTACAACAAACTACTCCAACAGAGCTAGAAACGACTCAGGAGCCTACCACTTCTCATTCTTCTACCACTCCAACTACATCACTCACGACCGCAGAACAAACTACTCCAACACAGCCGGAAACAACTCAGGAGTCTACAACTTCTGATTATTCTACCACTCCGAAACTAACAACCCCAGAACAAACTACTCAAACAGAGCCGGAAACAACACAAGAACTTACCGATCCTGGTTCTTCTACCACTCCGAAACCAACGACCACAGAACAAACTACTCCTACAGACCCAGAAACGACTCAGGAGCCTACCACTTCCGATTCTACTACCACTCCAACAACATCACTCACGACCCCAGAACAAACTACTCCAACAGAGCCAGAAACGACTCAGGAGCCTACCACTTCTCATTCTTCTACCACTCCAACTACATCACTCACGACCGCAGAACAAACTACTCCAACACAGCCGGAAACAACTCAGGAGTCTACAACTTCTGATTCTCCTACCACTTCAACTACATCAAAAACCACCCTAGAACAAACTAAACCAACAAAGCCGGAGACAACAGAGAAGACAACACATGAGCCAACCTCTTCTGAAACTCCGACTACTCCAACCTCATCATCAACGGCACATAGACAAACTACTCCAATGGAGCCGGAAACAACGCAGGAGCCTACCACTTCTGATTCTTCTACTACTCCAAAACCAACAACCCCAGAACAACCTACTTCTACAGAGCCGCAAACAACACAGGAGCCTACCACTTATTATACTCCGACCACTCCAACACAAACGACACTGCACAAAACTACTTCAACAAAGTCGGAAACAACACAAGGGCATACATCTTTTTATTCTCCTACCACTCCAACTTCATTACAAGCAACTACAGAACAAACTACTCGTAAGTTCACTTATTTGTTGTTTTTTTTTTTCTCTCTTTTTTTTTCTTTCTCCTTTTCTGTTTTTTTTTATGTCTGTTATCTCGTGTTTTTTTATATAGTTTTTTTTTTTTTAAGGCAATGACACGTTTTGTATTATCTATGCTTTTTAAATGGGTGGTTACTTTGACTTTCAAATGCCGCTTTGTCCATTTATGAAGTAATTTAGATAAAGTAATAGAAATACCAATTTCTTGTTTGAAAGGAACTGATATTCATCATGGACGAATGGGTTTCGGTTATTCTCATGTATTTAATGTATTAGTATCACATAACCCTTCTTCGTTTTTTAATTTCTCAAAGGTTTCCTCTCAATTTGATTTAGTTGCCATTAAATGATGAACATATTTAAGTTTTATTTTATTCTCTTTTTTAACCCATGAAATTCAAAAATTATTTGTGTTGTATTCAATCTATTTGAGTAGATATGATTCTATTTTTTTTCTCAATACGATAACAGTAACCGATTCTTGATAATTGTCTCCGTTTATCCTGTTTTGAATTTGTATTCAGTACAATATAATTATTTTCAAGGATAACAACTTCAATGTATTTTCAGTAAATTGTTTTTAATAACATTATTTGTTATTTACATATTTTTCATTTCCCCTTTATGAAGCTGTGTCGTTGCCATGTGACGGACTGTGTAATCCGTGGAATCAGGAGTGCCTGAGTGACGAATGTGTTTGTCTAGACGTACTCTCGCCCCAACAGGGGGAAGAATGCCAGGGTGAGTAAAGTGTCCATTTGCATTATATGCCAAATAGTCAGTAAAATCGCCATTTGTATTTAATCTCAAGTTAAATGTACGACCAACGAGCTAATATACTTGTAAGTAACAGGTATGTGATCCGGAAGCTTTCATCAAGCCACGCCATGCAGATGCAATGAAATAGTTTACCAACGACCTCCATGAATCGTTATGTGGACAGTTACAATGTATACAAACAAAATTAATATAACTTCACCCGGCATTCGATGGGCTGCCGGACAAGGAGCATATAAACCCGTAAACCGCGCAAACGGAACCCAAGTCGGACTTTAATTTGGTTGGACATCATTGCGGGCCTTCTTTACGCGAGTGCGTACAAGTGCATCGAGTAGTCTATTTCCAAGTCGATTTTCTTTTTTGTATTGATTGAGAGTGCATTTGTAGCTCATATTTTGAAAAGTATAAATGCATGAAACTAAACAACAATTTGGGGTAATGTTTACACTTTTTCATTCCAACGAGAACGATACTAGACCGACTACAGACCAAACAAACAATTATTTATACTCCAATGGCAATAGAATTGTCGGTTTGGAGTCGTTCTTGATTCGCGCTATAGTTCATGCAGGCTAGAGAGCAAGGAACCTTGTTTTTTTTTTTTATATATATATACAATGTTTTGTGATGGTTTCTTTTCAATTCGAGGTTGCTGATTCCAAATCCGATGAGTATCAGACGCAAATCCTTGAGCATTTCTCGTAAAATGCGGAAATTCAAAATGGCCGCCAAATCATGTGAACGCTTATATTTTGGCCATTCAACAGGTTATTTGATGTTTTCTTGTCAATTCCAATTTTCGTATTTTGCGTAAAGTGCTCAAGGTTTCGCGTATGGCATTCATCGGATTTGGAATCAGCACCCTCGAATTGATAAGAAAACATCAAAAAATTATGTTAAAAGGCCAAAGAATAAGCGCTTTCATGATTCGGCGGCCATTTCGAATTTTCACATTTCGCGAGAAATGCTCAAGGCTTCGCGTTTGGCACTCATCGGATTTGGAATCAGCACCCTCGAATTGACAAGAAACCATCAAAAAACATTGTATAAAAAAATAAATAAAAAAAACAAGGTTCAGGCCCTTTCCTATGGGGCCTAGCCTGGACTATTAGCGGTGTGACTGGAGTGTGATAGAACATCGAATCATTTCAATACATTTCGATGAAATATGCGCGCATTTTGAAATCCTAATTATATTTAAATTATGTCTATGATGTCATCAGGAAAGCTCATTTGTATTCTTCATGTTTGAGAGTTTCACTTTTAATCTCATTTCAAATACACTACGATGATGTTGAATTATGTCCTGCCAGATTTGTTTGGACTGTTTTTTATTACCAAGTGCGGTAAGTAACATTGAGAGGTCCATATTGTTATCAATTTAATCGGTGAAGCAGCCCTTAACTTTTTTTTCAAACCGTTTTGCTGCATCCCTAGACATGTTTGGTTTGTACTGAATGTCTGAATAAATACAATAGAATCAATATTTACTAATGTGAAATGGAATACAAGCCTTTTTTTTTTCTCCAGATACCAAACAAACAAAACCAATCTTACGGAGATAAATGTTAGAGCTATCAGTAGATTATCCACAGTCAAGTGGTTTGAAAACTAGAAGGGGGAAATCCCGAAGGTTAAGGATTCATGCCTAAGCACGGCAGTTATTAGTTAGACCTGCATTCCTTGCAGGCCTTTTTTACGCGAGCGCGTACAAGTGCGTCGAGTAGTCTACTCCCAATTCGATTTCTTTTGGTATTGATTGAGAGTGAATTTGTAGCTCATATTTTGAAATGTATGAATGCATGAAACTAAACAAAATATGCTTGGGTAATGTTTACACTTTTTCATTCCAACGAGAACGGTACTAGACCGACTACAGACCAAACAAACTATTATTTATACTCCAATGGCAATACAATTGTCGGTTTAAAGTCGTTCTTGAGTCGCGTTAGCGGTGTGACTGGTGTGTGATAGAACATCGAATCATTTCAATACATTCCAATGAAATTTGCGCGAATTTTGAAATCCTAATTATATTCAAATTATGTCTATATGATGTCATCAGGAAATCCCATTAGTATTGTTCATGTTCGAGAGTTTCACTTTTGATCCCAATTCAAAATGGCCGCCAAATCAGAACGCTTATATTTTGTCCATTTAACAAGCTATTTGATGTTGAATCGGGGAAGCAACCCTTAACGGTTTTTTTCAAACCGTTTTGCTGCATCCCTAGACTTGTATTGTTGTACCGAATGTCTGAATTAATACAATACAATAACTGTTTGATTCGATTTGATAGTTATGTCTCATATAGTACATACTGCCACGGCTGTTCCGATCCCTTCTATAATTATTAAACGTATAAACAAACTGACTTACACATTTGTATGGAATTCTAAAAAAGAAAAGGTGAAACGAAACATCCGTCAAAATCCTGAAGTAGAAGGGGGGTTGGGAATGATTGACTTAGAGTCGAAATACCGGTCACTCCGTCTTTCATGGATTTATAAGTATTTAAGTGGTGAACAAAGTTCTTGGATTTTTTTTTTAAATATTGGATTAAGAAAATTGGGGATTTGCCTCTTTGTTTGCATTTTAATTGCAAAAAGAGCGATATGTATCGTATATGTAGAAACAAAAAAGTTGCCTACTTTCTATGTTAAAATGTTTTGTTTTGGGGCTGAATTGAAATATATTGATATGTTTAAAGTAACAAATATTGCAACTGAAACTATTTTGGTATAATAGCAATATCAAAAATATGAGTGAGTTATTGTATTTTCGAAAGTGGATGAGAAAACAATATTCTTAATATTCTTAAAGTGAAACAAGTCTTAGATAACGGTATCTGGAAAGAAGTTGATTCCGTATTAATTTTCAAGAAAATTAATTACTTTCTGCCTTCAAATTGGCAGAGTTAAAAAGTGCACTTTCCTATTTTTGGTTGCAGAAGTTATGTAATAGTTAACAATATGCAAATAGTCCACCGTCTGCAGTGAAATCCAGTACAATAGAAATGTAACAGGTGACTCCATTGATGTAGCGGGCATAAGAGCCAAACACTATTAAAATTTGATGTTAGAAAAAAATAGACAGGGTCTGCCATGCATTTATTTTTAGAACGCTTATTCTAATTTACCTAATACGTTTAACGGGAAGACGGTGCTTCATTATACATTTTACTTTATAAATGACAACAGAATTAAGCAGTTTAATTTTAAATGTATTCATAGAATATTGCCCAGGAAAGACAATTTATATAGGCCTAAATGGAAGATTTAAAATAATAATCAATGTGATATATGTAAGATCCCAAATACAAATAAACACCTTCTCCTGGCTTACAAAAAGGTTTCGCTTTTTGGAAGATTTTATCCAAATTAATCGATACTTTGTTTAATTTTTTTTTTAAATTAACGAACAAATTATTTTATTATGTCATGAAATAGAGAGAAAAGAAATGAAGCTTGTCAATCTTATTTTAAACTTTGCTCATTTTATTATCTATAGAAACTATATTAGATAATGCTTTGGAAGTGAAAAGCACAGGATACACGCTGTATATTTGATTAAAAAATTAAAGGTAGAAATTCGCACCTATCTCTGTATGAAATGTAATCAAAAGAAATTCGATACAAACGAAGTAACACAAATGTTTTCATTATTTTAGTTAGTGATTATGTCACATTAGTTTCATATGTTGTACTATATATTATATGTTACGATTGCATGAATTCTGTATAAAAACCCTGTTGTAAATAGCTGTTTTTTTACGATATGAACAAATAAAGTCCCTTTGAAAGAGGATAAATAGAGGGGAAAATATTTAAATTAAACCTATGATGTCATCAGGAAAGCTCATGTGTATTGTTCATGTTTAAGAATTTCACTTTTGATCCCAATTCAAATACACTACGATGATGTTGAATTATGTTTTGCCAGAATTCTATGGACATTTTTTTTCCCACTGCGGTTATTAACATTTGAAAGGTCAATACTGTTATCATTTTAATGGGGGACTCAAGCAGCCCGTAACAGCTTTTTCAAACCGTTTTGCTGCATCCCTAGACTTTAATCGTTGTACCGAATGTTTGAATAAATACAATACAATCAATATAATGCTAATACAAGCCTGTTTTTGCAGATACCAAACAAACAAAACCAATATCACGGAGATAAATGATAGAGCTAACAGTAGATTATCCACAGTCAAGTGGTTTGGAAACTAGCAGGGGAAATCCCGAAGGTCGATGATCCATGCCTTAAGCTATGGTCACAACCCAAACAAGTAGCCTACTCGGCGGCCGGGCGGCGAGTTTTTAGCCAATTTAGCCCGGGCACCGCTTGTTTTAGGGCATCGCTCGGTCGCTGCTGAAGTTTAAGCGCGGAGTTAATATTTGGCGGCGGCTGCTCACTTTTCACTCGCCGCCCGAAAAAGGCTCGGTGCCCGGGCGGCGAGCACCGACCTAATCAGCGTTCGCCGTCGAGCGATTTAGGTAAAAAAAAAAAGACCGGTCACCACCCAGTCACCACCCGCTCGCCGCTGGGAGATCAGTCGGTCAATGGGCGGCGAGTTCAAAATCGGTCGGCAGCCATTGACCTAGCGGCTTTTTTTTTCTTTTTCGACAGAGCAGCGTCAGGGCATCGCTGGGGCTTTACAGCCTGCTCGACTTCTCCAAAAATCGTTGGGCGATGCCTAAATTCCAGCGGCAACCAAGCAGGCTACAAATCGGTCGGTCGCTGCTCCGAGTTGTGACCATAGCTTAAGCATGGTATGCTTGCTATAAATACTTCTCAATTAATCTTGAAAAACAATCAATAAAAGAAAAAAATGTAACTTATCTACTATTCGATTCAATAGAATGCGATTGCACTAGGAGCATAAGTATATTTCCTATTTACACACGAATAGCCGATATTGCATCAATTTTGGATAAAGTCAGTCGATTTCATTAAAAATTTCTGCAGAAGACTATCACAAAGTGCAATCTCGTAAGCAATCTTGCATGATAGGAAATATTATATCCCACATACTAAAAATCTTGCTCTACGATTGGTCAAAAGTAAATCACGTGATGAAAGATAGTTCGCCCATTATTGATGGGAGAAGCAAAAAGTTTGTTACACTGTGTAGATAGTAGTACTATCTACACAGTGCAACGCACTTTCACTGAAGATAGAGGTCCTATCTACACAGGGCAACGCATTTTCACTGAAGATTATCCAAAAGCGCACTAAAACAGGCGTAATTAAGCGCCCATTACCAATGAGCGCAATTAAAGAAAACACATGCGCGCACCGTACCCTCAAGAGGTTGGGTTAAACTTGAACTTTTTTGGTGTGAATTTAGGCCTAGGTGTCTTTTATGTAGATGCATACACGTCCTTTTCTTTTTGTAGTTAAATTGTTTTAGATGTGGAATATAAAGCAAATAATCACCTTTGGGTTTCAGGCAATGGCAAACTATCACTTCCTCGTCGATCAGAATGTATACGCTATCTTTCCTCAGCTTCCCTTCAGAAAGATAGCTACATCCAGATCACCTCGGAAGTGATAGCTTGTCCCATCACCTTCACCAGCGGTAATTATTTGCTTATTAATATTTAGTTATTTGCAGGTACATATGATTACGTTATAATGGTGAATTAATATTATTTTATGATCCAGACCCGTGCTCCGATAATTGTGATCGCAACACCGAGACTTGCGAGGAGACTAGTGGAGAATTTCAATGTCAATGCCGTCCTGGGTATTATCTTTCAGGTGACACTTGCGTGGGTAAGTACAACCGGAAGTCGTCATTGAAGCTTAACCTTGCTTTCATCGCTTCTCTGCATAGTCCCTTATTTACCACTCGTGCACTTTTTGATTGATGGAAGGATTGCTTTGAACAAAACAATGGTTTTTAACAATTATACATTTTTGGTATTGATTAGCTCCCTTGTATAAACCTTTACAACATAGTTATATATTTATATTATTTATATTACAATGAAAACAGTTGATGATCTTAGAGTCTTTGATATCCCATGATAAAATATAATTTGCCACAAGGAGATTATCTCTTTGGTATATATTAATAATTAGGGGAGGAGAAATGCAATCAGCATAAAATAAAGGAAGACTGGGATATTGCATATGGTGAGGGTACAGATAAGAGGGAATATATTGTGTTTAAATGGGTCTGCAATTGCTAAGAACAGTTTTTCGGAACTTTGAATTTCATCAGAAGAAAGCGGAGGATTCCACAAGAAAAAAAGATCATGCGTAATTAGAGCATGGTGCAGGACAAGAATATCAGAATATGTCATTTTTTCTCTCAGGATTGCTACCCTTTTCAATCTTAAAGGGACTTTTTTTAATTGCTATAGGGACATGTTATTGATTCGGAAATATCTAGGTGACCTCCCCTGTTATCTCGATATTGGTATTTGTATTTGTATTGCAAATATTTCTAATGCACACATTCAAACAATGGAAAAATTGCATTAAACATTTCATAACGCTCATGTCATGTATGCAAGTGATAACGCCTTTACTCACGTAAAAGAACTTCCCTCTTGAAAAAAACCACTCCATCTAAATTCTACAAAGTGTCTTTACTCATATAAAACCGTTAGTACTTCACATAGTGGACATGATATGGTACTGTTTTGTATTTATCTCTTCAGATTCATCGACTTTTCTTGCAACCATGGAGATAGAAGCAATCAACGGCACGTCAGCTGAATTCTCTGAGGACCTTACGAACAGAGAGAGTGAGAGGTTTATCATGATGGAATCAGATATATGTTACATGGTAGGCAGTATTATATTCCACGTACTAAGAATCTTGCTCTACGATTGGTCAAAAGTAAATCACGTGATGAAAGATAGTTCGCCCATTATTTATGGGAGAAGCAAAAAGTTCGTTACACTGTGTAGATAGTACTACTATCTACACAGTGCAACGCACTTTCACTGAAGATAGAGATACTATCTACACAGGGCAACGTACTTTCACTGAAGATTATCCAAAAGCGCACTAAAACAGGCGTAATTAAGCGCGCATTTCCATTGAGCGCAATTAAAGCAAACACATGCGCGCATCGTACCCTAAAGGGGTTGGGTTAAACCTTTAACTTTTTTGGTGTGAATTTGGGCCTGGTGTCTTTCATGTTGATGCATACACGTCCTTTTCTTTTTGTAGTTAATTGTTTTAGATGTGGAATATAAAGCAAATAATCACCTTTTGGTTTCAGGCGATGGCAAACTATCACTTCCTCGTCGATCAGAATGTATACGCTATCTTTCCTCAGCTTCGCTTCGGAAAGAAAGCTACATCCAGATCGCCTCGGAAGTGATAGTTTGTCCCATCACCTTCACCAACGGTAGTTATTTGCTTACTATCAGCTTGATAACAAACGTCTTAATTTTTTGCTATACCCTCTCAGAAAAAAGCTACCCACTTTAATAGGGCTTTAACCCATACACTGCTATACGACCAAAATATATACAGGTAAATTCATACAACTGCCCCGTAATACAGCTAAACTCGATGAAACACTACTATACCTCGTAGGATGAGTCGAAACTAATGATGGACAATTGTCTTGGGCTATGATTTATCAAGACAATGATGTTCATCGAGTGATCATAAGAGGGGGGTATTTGGGTAATCATAATTTAGAGTCTTAGCTTCGAACAACCATGAAATGTAATAAGTAAGCTTCTGTCTATCCAATGTCAACTATATTCAGTCCAGTTATCACGAGGAGGTCTGTGTGGAAGAATTACTTGGCTTAAGAAAGTCCACGTGATGGATAAAAGCTTGCCTACTAATTGTTAAGGTTGATAGCAGCTTAAACTACAATTTACATTTCATAGGTTGATGGCATATACGCTGATACCTTGACTGACTACTATGGATGCACTGTCATCAAGTTTGATAATGGTAGTATCATCGCAGACATCAATCTCCTATTCGATCCCGAGACCAATGTAACAGACCAAATACTACAAGAGGAACTTGAGAAAGAGATAGAAAGAACTGGTGGTAACCTTTCGGACGGGTCATCAGTCTTCACTGTGTCTAACTATCAAGTAAAACGTAAGTTCAACATTGATTTTGTCGTAGATATCACCAGCTTGATCGCAAAGAGTTCTACAAGAAAATCGTATGGTAATGTGAAGATGACGTTATATAGGGGTTCATTCAGTTGACTCTCGATCCAAGATTTGACGGGTTCGAATCCCAGCCTGACACTAACGTCAATTGCCGAGATAAAATAGGCATTTAAGAAAATTGAAAAGGGGCACTTATTACAAAAGAAATGGGGGCACCTCTCATATAGTAGGGTGAAAAGGGCATTTATGAGAAGGCGAAGGCGCACCTATTGAAAAGGAAATGGGGCAATTAACGGAAGGAAAAGTAGCCTTCATAAAAATGATAAGGGGCACGTGTCAAAATAAAAGGGGCACTTATCAGACGAAGACTAAAGGTGCATTTGTTACGAGGTAAAAAGGGGCACTTAAACATGAAAAAGTAAAAATTCAGAGTAAAAAACAGACATTTGTCCAAATAAAAGGGGTACCTCTCAGATTTATTAAGGGGGCAATTGTAAGGTGTTAAAGGGTACTTATCAGAGGTGGCAAGGGGCACTTCTTGTACCTAAAAAAGGGGCACTCACCTGAAATTAATAAGGGCACTTATAAGAATTATTAAAAAGGGTACTTATTAAAAGTGGAAAAGGGCACTTATCAGATTTTAATACATGTATGTTTCAGAGGTGTGAGAATGGACATTTAGGAGAAGGGAAGGGGCTCTTTATTTAAAATAAAAAGGGCACTTATTAGAAATTAAAAGGAGGTGAATGGCAAAGTAAAAGGGGTACTAATCAAAGGTGGGAAAGGGACACTCAACTGAGATGAAATGGGGAACTTTTAGAAGGGGAAGGGGCACTTATTACAAGTGAAAAGGGCACCCGTTAGAGTAAAAGGGGCACCTGTCAGATTTGAATAGAGGTAATTACCATTGGTTAAGGGGGCAATTATCAGAGGAGGTAAGGGGCACTTGTTAGATTTTGTATATATGAAAAGGGGCACTTATTCGAATTAAAGGGGGCTCTTTTCCCATGTTAAATAAGGGGCACTTCTAGGAACTTGAAAAAGTGCGGGGGCACTGTGCTCGAGCCTGCGCTATGCCTCTCGTCTTCGTCTCGCAGCACAATACAGTTTCGAGATCAACTTGGGCAATAGTGTTAACACTGCCCTTCAAAGCAGTCAATAATCAAACTGCCCTCGTTAGACAAACATTATTAAAATCTGCATGGTCTGTCACGCAGCCTTCGAGCTGGAGTTCACGGCAGCGGACCATCTCGCGGCAACAGATGCACTCCCTCGCTGTAGGCATAGGCCGACAGTTCCCGCACTGGCACCAGTTGTTGTTGCCTACTCTCTCGGGCGCTGGTGGTGGTTCTGGAGCGCCTTCTTCGTCGCTGTCATTTCCTCCTACAATTAGCTGTTCTCGTTCTCGATCTCGTTCCCGTGCTTCTAGTTCTTCCTCAGTCCAGACTGGCTGGAAAGCATATCACCAGGGGGACCAGACATTCCGTTAAATCGGGCAGAAACTTGCACTAAAATCGGGCAGAAACTCACACTAACTCACTGACGCTAAAATACTACAAATAGTCTGCTTTTTCTCTAGAGCGCATGCGCAGCCAATCCAATTGATCACAACATTCGTTCGCGAATGGGCGCCCGTCTCTAGCTCTGTGTTGTGAGGACCCTACGTCACAAAAAATGTCGCGCGATGCACTGTGGGGGAGAACCGGCTCGATCACTAACTTGTTCTTTGCTCATTAAAACAACTAATTAAAAATAAGTCCGAGCTCCATTTTCCAAGACCAAGTTATATTTGGGCTTTTTAGATTTTCGTCTATCTAATCATTAAACCTTTTTAGCCGAGTGGACTTGTCCTTTAAGAGCCCTTATGTTGGGAAAAAACCTATTTCCTACTCAGGCATTGAAAGGACTGCTTAAATGTAGGGGGAACAAATGTCACTACTTAACTTTTTTCTTATTCAACATATTTCTCTCTCTTTAATAATGATTTCTTCTTTATTAACTTTTATGTGTGTCCTATTCAGCTACGAATGAGTGTGAACTGGACATTGACGACTGTTCATCTCTTGCAACGTGTACGGATCTTGGATCAAATGGCTATGAGTGTTCATGTAATGATGGCTACACTGACGTAGAAAACTACCCAGTGGGAACGTACTGTCAACCTGTTACATCCAGTAAGACTTGCTATTATTTTCTCGGGTTCTTATTATTCATCATGTTACCAGTGATTCAAGTTGTATTTAATTCATTTTCCTATCTTGGTATTATTCCCGATGTTTCTTTACATTCGACTAAAATGTATGCTATCATGGCTATCAAAGGTTGACGATTACGTAAAACATTTTTGGAATCATGAAGAATTATATGCAAGTAAAATAAGCGACCAAGATTTCGAAATTTGTCACATCTTAACAATTTAAAAAAAGTATTACTTATGCACACATCACTGGACTAGGTAGCATATGATTCTAAATAACTTACCTGCTCAGAATGTTCTTTTTCTAATTTGCGTTTGTATATTACTTTGTACAAGACAGTGTATTTAGTATAGAAAATTAGAAGAACACCACGGATTGTAATCCTTGACCCAAATAAATCGATTTTACATGTAAATATACCTCATTGACAAAACAGATACCAGCTTTCCTGAATAAATCCTCTCTATTTCCTAAATGTATTGGAGCAGACATTTTGTTTAGGTTAAGGGGGGGGGCATTTAAAGCATCGTTTCATTTGGATTCTAAAGAGTACCTAGGAATGCATTTCGCTGTAGTTTGGAATGGGGTCTATTCTCAACAGAGTACTTAAGAATGCATCTCATTATGATTTGGAGTTGAATCCACTCTCGGCAGAGTACTTGGGAATGTACATTACTATAATTGGAGTGAGATTCACTCTCAACAGAGTACTTAGAAGTGCATCTCACTGAAATTTGGAGTGGAACCCACTCTCAACAGAGTACTCAGGAATGCATCAAACTGAAATTTGGAGTGGAATCCACTCTCAACAGATTACTCAGGAACGCATCTCACTATAATTTGAAGTGGATTGAACTCCCAAGAAAATGATCCTAAATATTTTCAAAAATTGTTTTATGTGCACTATTTGTTCCAGTATAACCTTAGCTATAAGTCAGCATTTAGTAAACTGATTTGTTTTATTTTGTTTTGCTTTTCAGATGCTTCATCCACGACAACAGGGACAACGTTTACCCAAAGTACAATCGGTCAACCAGTAGACAATGATAGTAAGTGCTTTATTCGCATCGCACGTATTATGTTGATAATTATTAATATCGTCATTTGGTGTGCCTTGATGAAGATAAGGGTACTGACTCATTATAATCCTTGGGTCTCTTCTGTAAGCACAATTGTGCATGCATAGGCCTATGTATTTAACTTCGGTATGTAAAACAAATTATTCAATGACTCGATGATGCTCTCCCTCTATCTTCATGTATTCATCAAGGCATCTTCCCCCCCGGATCTTCTTCCAGCTCGGAGGATAATTGCAACATCTTACACAAATCTCTATTCTCCGCAATTATAGTGCAATATTGTTTTTTGCTCTCCAATTGGTACTTGGTTTTTATCTTGGTGTGGTACTTTACCTTTTTTTCTTCCTTATACAACAAATTTTTAAAGAGACGATGCTGTTTTTTAATGTGGCCGAATTATTTCACCTTTCTTTCTCTAAACTTTTCTATCAGGATATTTGTTTAAGCCGCAATGTTCCTACGTTAATTTGAATATCCTTCCATGATATTTCCATGTGTAATAATCTTAGTATATTAACCCATCTTAAAGTTAATCATGTTAGCTCCTGCCGTATATCCAGCGATACAAACTTAAGGCTTAATTGTTCAGATATGGCGCAGTAAACCGCCGCAAAAGTTCAGCACCGTGTTCTTTTTTAAAGGCAACTTAACGCAACAAAGGACTTGGGGTTATTCATTGAACTATGCGCTATAATACCCTTTTCTAACTGCACTCTATCGGAGTCACACCGATGAAAATACCGATTAAATTTTCCTTATGTAAACAAAGGTGAAACCGCAGTTTTTCCCCTGTCGGTTTCTAACTGCATGTGAAATTCACTCGCTGTGGCGAGCCCTTGCCGGAAGTGAAGAATTATTACGTAATTATTAAGCCCGCGCTCCATCTAGCTCGCATGCAGCATGTTCAACCATAAGTCAACAAACACAGCTGGTTACGATAAAGCGCGCGTATACTGCGACCTTTGACCATTTTAATCGCTGTTTTAATCGCCTTTTTCTCCCGAACGTTTTCTAACTGCACGTTTCATCGGTGTCACACCGATAGAATGAGAATTTCTCCTGCTCTTGAGCAGGAGAATTTAATCGCCTATTTCTCTTCTTTTCATCGGCTATTTGATCGTCTTTTTCTCCTCTGTTGCTTTCTAACTGCCACTTTCATCGGATGCGTAGGATGCATCCGATGAAAATCGGTGCAGTTAGAAAAGTTATTAGTAAGAGGCGTATTGCACTCTACGTCAACATACAAATAAAGCGTCATATCTGAACGAACCTTTACGTTTACAGAAAGATTTTATTCGCTACTCTTCCCGTAGTATAAGGTTTCATTTGGTAAAAATGTATTGCGATGTCTATAATGAAAATTTTCCATTTACTCAAAAGGGGCCTGGCAAATATGAGTAGTGTGTGTGATTATATTAAAAATACTCTCTGCTAGCATTCGGCTTAACTAGTAGTTTTTTGTTGCGTGTTCAAAATTAAACTGTTTACTTTCTTTCTCCCCCACCCCTTTCTTTCTTTCTCTCTGTCTTTCCCTCTATCTCTCTCCCTCTCTCTCCATATTATAGATGACTGGGTATTCATCGTCATCATGACCAGTGCTTGTTTATTGTCGATACTACTATTGTCTATCTCAGCTATCGTCATTCTGATAATAGTACGACGTTACACTAAGCCCTCGGGTAAAGCTTTCGGGTCGTTCCGAGATATCGAAGATCGTCTAAGACACTCACCAGGCGATAATTTAGATGAAACAATTCTACATGATGTGGAATACTCACCAGGCGATAGTTTAGATGAAACAATTCTACATGATGTGGTATGTGCCATGATATCATTATCTTTGTTAATCATTGTAATATGGGCTAACATTCCCTACGATTTATTGTAAGCCATATCAGAAATAATGACACACAAATATGTTCACCATCACCACAATAAAAAACGATATGATAAAAAAGGCAAAGGAATAACTGTCCAGGGGGTGTTTCATAAAGCTGTTCGTATAGTTACGCATGACTTTACGAACAACTTGTATATGAAAAGCCGAATAGGATACTCAATCATTATTAAATATATCAACTAAAATTAAACTGTGCAGATGTAGATTAACATTCTTATGATAACAAATATTTGTAATGCAAAGTATATTTTTTGCCATAATTTAATTGAGGTTATTGAAAATATCAACAACACAAATTTGGGCATCCTATCTGGCACTTCATATACAAGTCGTTCGTAAAGTCATGCGTAACTTTACGAACAGCTTTATGAAACACCCCCCAGGACGTTGAGTTTTTGTACATGAAGAAAATGTGCCAAAGATCATGATGATCTATTTACCTATAACTAACAAACCCATCCTAGTGTCCATCGACTTGTATAGGTATCAAGAGGCCCAGAGAGTTTTAAACCCTATATAAGAATCGGAGATAACATTTAAAAGGCAGTGAAATAATGTTACCTAATCTTAATCTTACCGCAGCACTTTCCCTGGCACGACACTCCTCAGAGTTTGTATGTTTACCAGTCTACTCTTCTAAATGAATTCACCGAATCGGAAGTCACGACTATCAATCAGGCCGATGATGACGAATCCAATCCGAAAACTCCCAAAGAAGAGTCCGAAAATGTTACGACTAGAACCCGCAGCAGTTGCTGTTAGACGAGCTTATGCAGGATTTGTAAGGACCGGAGCTCCGCGGAGGTGCGTAGCGATCCGGGTTAGCTAACATGTTTTATTTGTTTGTAATATTGTTATTATCCATAAGCAAGTTAATCATATGTATATACATAGAGAGAGAGAGAGAGAGGGAGAGAGACATACAGACAGAGATACAAAGAGAGACCGAGAGAAAGACACACAGAGAGAGACAGAGACAGAGACAGACAGACAGACGAAATAGACAGAGACAGAGACTGGGAGAGTGAGAGAGTGGGAACATATAAAGTGGAATATTGTTGATTGAACGTAATAGTTCGATCCAGCATCTTTTCTACAGTTTACACAAAAATAGTGTTTATATAGTGTATCTCTATTATACCCCACCCTTTCTAGTTATATAGACATGTATTTTCTTTTTCGTTACTTTTTTATTTCAACTTGCTTTATATTACTCTTTTTTAAATATGTATATATATATATATATATATATATATCTGTTTCTTTTACATTTATTTGTGTTAATGTTGTGTATTGTTATTATTCAATCGTGTATTTTATATGTTTATTCATATGTAGGGACATGCTGAAAAAACATATGCCAAGCTGAAAGCATGTGTTTTAATCACCGTAAACAAACAAACAAACAAACAAATATGGAATCGATGAATTGCCATTTAGTAAACGCTAATATTAGTTGGACGTTTATAGCGTAAAAGCGAAAAATAATTATGATAATTGTGTCCGAAAAATTCGTAGTTACAGGGGCGATATTTAGGTTTAGATAATTAATGTAATTTCGTATAACTTCAAAATGTTAGGAATATAATGTAAAACCAAACGCATGTTGATATATATAATCGGATAATCAGTTTATGATACGGTTACTGTTAAACTTCAGCTTAATTGTTGCCATTTTATGATAAAGATTTTGGTGACGATTTTTTTTTTTAATCCCCATACGAAGAATGTTAAGCTTAATAATAATTTAATAAACAAATTACATCATTGAAAAAATTAACGAAATATTACGATAAAAAATTTGTTCAAATCGTTTCGTACTTTACATAATGTTATTTAGATTTTAAATTTTTTTAATCTCTCAAACTTTTCATCAGAGAGTTAAGCTGTTTATATTTGTACGAGGTATTTCAAATTATCTAATGTGAAATCTGTTTACATACAAAAACATAACAATTCAATTATTGTTAATGGTAAAGATCTAAAAATACTTCGGACATACAGAATATGGATTGCATATTGAGTCAAAATCAAATAGTTTCAAGTAGAATCATAATTTCGTTATCGATGTCATATCCAGGAACTTATACTTTTTTATTAACAAAGATGTATAAATCATAAACAGTATAGATTTGATATTTTTCTCAACGCCAAAATAGAATGTATAAAATGTTTTCCACCCTGTTGCAGTATTTGCATGTCATATCAAATGCAATGTTCCAAAAACAATGTATAATTTTTTTGTGTGAACTCTAGGGTCTTTTGAAATAACTTAAGATTATATTGTTTTGCTATGTTTTTTTAATCAATTTTCCAAACTTAAATGTAAGTAATAAAGTCCAATTACAATTCGCTTATAATTGAAGGCTGCGCTGTCAGACGCCCGGAATTGCGTTATTTTGGTTCAATGGATTTCAATTCAACCATCAAAGAATAATAGTTGGTTTATAGTATAATGTATTCAAAATAATAATATAACCACCTTTTTCAAAATAAATAACTGTATAGAATGGTCAATGTCGACTTCAGATCTATTTAAATTATCAAACTATAAACGTAAAATAGCTTTCTTAATCCTGAAATAGTTTAGTGCATTTTGATTTTTGTTTGGTTTCATTGCATCAGTGCAGGTATAAACATTTATGTGAACTTGTTTTGTTTAATTAATAAATATATTCATTTGCCCTTGCTTTTTAGGTTTATTTTAATCAAGCTTTTATGATATGCAGTTTGTCTTTTCAAAGTGAAATCTGTTCTGTGTTAATTTACATAATTTAATTAGTAGTAAATAACTGTTTATTTTGTATTGTGTATATGTTTTGTTTGTTTTTTTTGCTGATGAAATGTTTACCATTAACATTGTCACTTGCCTAAAGGGCTTCCTTCAAAAGCAGGCATGGCGGGTCTCAAATGGACTACCCTGTATTTTAAAGAAGACTGTTTAATAAATACAATTTAAAGTTTGTTATGTAATATTTGTTTGAGAATACCGTACATATATGAATTATGAAGTACTTACTTTTTGTATTGTCTGCAACTTTTGCATTAAAATTGCTCTCAGTTGTCTA